ATACTGGAAATTAGTGAATCTCATGTAAGTCTCACATTAACAGACTCACGGGGATCCCGCAATTGAGGTTGGAGGAGCTGACCATTCGGCAAAACAATTGGTTAATAATCAGCATTAAATAATAATTAATTAAAATTTAATCAATTTCAAAACATATTGGTGGAGATATTAAAATTTGCCTGAGCTAATAATTCCTACACAATGGATAATGCAATGGCAGACATTCTGCACTAGTACACTCACCACCCAGTAGGTAAGGTGATGAAGAGGCAGGAGAGAATTCACCACTTAGATATAGGAGATGATTAGGAGGCCAGATTTAAAAAGGCCACAGTGGGCAATTTTAGCCAGGGCATCAGTTCCCATCACTACACTGGGATATTGGGATCCACACAGACCACAGCCAACCTGTTGGCCGCACCAACACCTCTTCCAGCAGCAACCCCAGCTTTCCTAGTTGGTTTCTCATCCAAAAACTGGCCAGAGTCAAACCTGCATAGCTTTAGATGAACTACTTACACTGAACTTCTTGCGGTTCATAAGCTGCACTTGTATTTGCCTGCAAAATCTTCTTTTTCTACTGTGAATACATAGATGTTTGATTTGGATGTGTATCGTCAGAATTAATTTTGAAAATACTTTCAACCTAAGTAAAAAAAAAAAAAAAAGAACAATAGGGCCTTGTGCCCTGTGATGGACGGGCATCTTATACACAGTGTCTCCTGCCCAGTACCCTCTGCTTCCTGGGATGTGATCCAGGCCAGAGTGACCCTACACTGGATCTGCAGTTATAATATATGGATGGACATTTGGAAATAGGACACAGTGATGAACATGTGTGCTTATGTAACAGATGTTGTGTTCTGTTATGTTATAAGATTTACACTGAAGTGGAAATACTGGAGAAGTAGGCTCAGGTATTGATCCTCTGTCTTGAATGTCATCCTATAAAAAAACTAAAATATATAAAATATGTTTTTTTAACATTTAAAAGCAAAATGAGCCGGATAAAACAAGAAGGACATATACTGTACTAAACACATCTAAGCACATTTATCAAAACAGTAATTTATAAAGTAAGAAAATAAATGTATCCAAACAATGTGTCCTGCCCCAATCGTCCGCTCCTTCCGTGTGCCACGCCCCCTCGTTAACCCCGTGTGGAATCCTCGTGTGATCAGCTGTTTCTAGTTGTTTTCATTAGCCCTCTGTATTTAGTCCGCGTTTCAGTTTGTTTCCCCAGTCCGGTCATTGTATTGTCTATCTGCGTTTTGCCTGCCTTATTCGTAATCAAACCCCATATTCCCCGATACCCTGACGTCTGCGCCTTTATCTCCGTTCCATCCCCGCTCGGCACAACAATATTATTATAATTAAACGTATGAATGGTTTATTATTAATATTAAAATAATTAATAAGAAATCTTTATTTTTAAATGTATTTGTTATATAATAATAATTACTGTTACTGTCTATCATTGTCTAAATGTATTTTTACTGTCTAAATATATGTATTCAGTTAGTGTAAACATGCACGGTGCTATCACAGCGAATGCGAGGCTGAGACTGAATCGTAACCATTTGTTTCCGCTTAGAGATATGCTGGGTGACTCATTTCCCAGTGTTTACAAGTTATCTTAGGTTGGCGTTCACAGTTTGACTTCTGAGATTCAGATCGAGCTCTAGGTAATTCTTTTTCGAACTGATTGGTTCGACTTTTAAGAAATTCGAGTTCGAGATCTGAGGTACCACTATATATACTGTATATATACAGCAGAAGACCCCACCGGGTACCACTCATCTCCACTACAATTAGGAAAAAGAGGCTACAATTTGCACGAGCTCACCAAAATTGGACAGTTGAAGACTAGAAAAATGTTGCCTGGTCTGATGAGTCTCGATTTCTGTTGAGACATTCAAATGGTAGAGTCAGAATTTGGC